GCCTCGTTTATTCATAAATATTAAAGAAGGTTAATATAAATTGATTTAGATCTATATATGAAATTAGGGAACTGTTTCAATAAAATTCCGTGAAAAATTCTTCAATTTGAATCGGTTCACAACGGATAGTCATTAGTGCCGGATTTGTGTATACGCTGCACAAGCTATAGCCCCACGTTCTTGGATGCCCCCAAAAATTATACGTTATCCTTTATAAAGAGCCTCATATCTCAAATTGTTTACGGCCTCATTAAGATCTGCTATGATGGTAATCGTATAGCGGCATTTTAAATACGAATCAACTCAGGCCTAAATTTTAGCTCAAAAACCATCAAAATTTCATCAAAGTTAGAAATTTAATAAGTTCTTTTAATTATCATTTCAATGATAATTTCCACTAGTATATTTCACTTTCCTCCGCTAGGAAAGAAATATTTTTTAAAGGAAATTACGCATATTACAAGAACTGTGGAAAACATTGCGTATCCGAAGGTCGAACAGTTTCTTTATTTAATTTTTCGCTCTTTTTTTTCTTCCTGTTTCTTTGAAATCTCTAATCTAGTTGATTCAAATTTAGACAACCATAAGTGTCCTTAGCTTGGATGCTTTCTCCAAGCTAGTTTAGTTTTAGTTAGTTTTCTGCTTAGAGATCTTTTATTGAGACCAACCCCAGACGGACTTCAAACATAAACATATCTGATACCCAGAATTTTCCATCGTGTCTGCCAAGTCGATATGAATAGCATCTAATCTTTATCACATAAATATTAAAAATCAAAGAAAAATCTTATCAGAAATATAAGTAGGTTAGTGGGATCTAGAAATGTGAATGAGAGCTCACAATGAAGATGAGGCATAGCAACTCTTTCATGGTCGATTTTACCCTCTCCTTTCTCAAATTAATAGCTTTTTTTTCCGTTTATGAAATATAGTCTATGTGAAGTTCAATATTCTGAAAACTGTTATGATATTTCGTAACTGAGAAGACTTTGCATTACCTTCTAAAAACTGATGCGGATTTTTAGAATTAGTTTGCTTTTAAAAGTAGATATAATCTGTATTAATTTTAGGCATGCTTTCATTCCTTTTTTTCTAATGGCAAATGTATTTAATAATTTTCAACAGTCTTACTAACCAGAATGAATTTTTTCGAATGAAGTGTGGAACTAGCGGCGACACTCACAAATCTCCACAGTACTTCAATTTTGTTTCACGTAGGATGTCAAAGAACGTCGTGGACCAAGTTTAACTGTCTGAATAACAATATTAAAAGCGAACAGTTTTATTAATTTGATAGTTTCAAAAATTCTATTCCTATCTCCATTAATAAATGTAACTTGCAACTCCAATCATTTAGTTTTATAGACGATTAGTCAGCGAGCATCACCGTAAAAAATATATGCCTGAACACTGGGAGTAACATATTTACTAACTACCAATAAAAACGCGATATATTTTTTAACCACATAATGAGAGTAGTTACATGCAATGTTATAAGCGTAGAGCCAAAGCAAAAAGCGAGGTAATATTGCATTATACATATGCGTACTTACAACCGACTATATTATTTCTTTAATTTTAAAACTAAGAAAAATACTGCAACGAAATTTGAAGTAACTTAACTCCATTTTGTAAGTTATGTGATAACAACATCAGTGATGTAGTTAAAATTTTTGCTGCCCGAGGTGGTTTCTGAGTTTGCCGTCTGGTCCGGAATTCGGCGACCCTTAAACAAATAACCATAAAATATAGTAAAATGACATGTAGAGAAATAAGTGAAAACTCTGACTTTATTTTTGAAGGTAAATTTTAATTCCAATATTTTTTATTATTTAGTTTTTTTTATTATTTGCACTTTGTTTTGGTTCGCAAACCAGCCAGAGATATTGCAGAGGTCTATTTGATTGCTCTTGCTGTTATGTAAAAAGTACAGAAAGATTTCTTAAATGCAAAATATACATCTGTAGTTCTTAAATGATTTTTATTTAGAAAACAGTTATAATTAGCAACCCTTACAGTGATTTAGAGGAAAGTTTGCATTAATACTACAATATTTGGAACTTCGTTATGGAGATTGTATTTTAGAATAAACTGCAAAAGTTCAAGCAGACTTTTTTCCACGTTCCTGTTTTGATTCCTCTGGCTTACATGAATAACAAATGAAACCAGAATATTATATTTTGATGTCTTTGACGGTATAACAGAATCCCTTTGTTTATCTTTCTTCGTAAGATTTCTCTGGTTCGTTATTTGTTTGTGTAAATTTTCTCTTTCAATTTTATCGAGTTCAATTTAAATTTTTATACATTTTCTCAAACAAAACCTAATCAGGTGGCGTCATATTAGGCAAATGCATATTTTATTACGCTAATACCATTTCCATAAATTTCGTTTGAAATGATGTGATTTAAGGAAAATGACAGATTTTAAAGCACTGTGTTTAATAAGTGACAGGCTGCTTCATTCTCATGGAAATATCTGTTGGAGGGTTTCTCATAATTCAAGTCCAATTGATCCAAAGAAATGTTGAAGATTTCCGTATATCCAGCTGTTATGGGCGTTTTCGTGGATTTCCCCCATGTGTAACGTGTATACGAGCTATTTTCTCTTATACTGTTCTCCAGGAAGACATCCCTCCCCTTGGGCAGATAACGCTAGTGTACTTTGCCATACTTGAATTAAAAATTATTAAAAATATAAATAAATGTTAAATTCTAAATTAAAAATACACTAATTTTGCAAATTAAATGGCGTTAGAATGCATAGCATCTTAATAATAATAAATGACCAGAATGTATAAATAATCTTTCAACAGGACTCAAAGTTTTAAAAATAAGATAATACTCTTACTTTTAATTCATTTCACTTACTTTTATTAATTTCATAGCATTAGTTTCTTTTAAATATAAATGAATATTGAAGGAAAAAAAGCTCAAAAATTTTATTTACGACTCATAATAAGCCTTAATTCATTAAGAAAATGAAAGTTTAAACAAAATTTGTGTTTAAGAAAAATGCACATTAATTTTCATCAAAAATGGAAAAAAATTGCTAGTTTGGTTTTTTAATATGTAAGAAAATATATTCTTCATAAATGAAAAATACTAAAAATTGTAGAGTTGATGATTGAAATGAAACGATTGTTTTTAAATTTAATATCGGATAAAGCTTCTGCTTGTGTAACATTCGAGAGCATTATTTGAAAGACGATATGCATGACACGGCTACTGAAATACAAGTGAGTTTATCACATTTTAATGTGAAAAATGTTACGTGGCCAATTGTCAAGCTGAATAACTAGTACGGCATTATTGATGAAATTATTATTAACGCAGATTTTTAAGACTTTTATACAGAAAATTATAATACTGTAATAAGAATTCGGATTTTTATATATTGCATTTATGTCCCAGGGTACAGCTGCCTGGAAAATAAACCAAGCGATATTACAACTAAGAATAATCCACAGGGTTTTCTCTGGATTCTTTGGTTTATTTGAAGCTTTGGATTGTTTGTAGCTACTCTACTGTGCATCATTTAATACTGTTCTTTTATTTGCAATATTTTTGTTTGCTCTTTTCCCTTCAGCTTTTTTTCCTTTCTAATAAACAATAGTGATTAGACTAAGATCATAGAATTTACAACTGTCTATATGTTCAGTTTGCATCTTTGTCCGAGAGTATTACAAGGCCAAAACAGTTCTATGTAACTTATCTTTCGTATAGAAAAGATGTAGGAGCGGAAGAAAGTTATTATTGATATTAGCATTCGCTCTGGAATCAAGTGTTCTGTATCTTCAAAAATAATAATTGCCCTTTTATAAGTACTTATTTTTTATCCGTACAAATGATATTTTTATTATACCATTTCTAGAATTATTTCAATTAATAACTGTGTAGAAATTAGTAACATTTCTTTTACAGTGTGTTAAACTTGTAAACTCCATTTAAAAAAAAAGCATTCTCAAATCCAACGTATAAAAGTTTAATTTTGCAATTATTTCCAGCAGTACTTCTTCTTTAAAATAATTTAATTACTTTAAAAGCAGTTCATAAATTACTAGGTAGAAAATAGTTGTATGGTCATTTATATTGATTACTGGCTATAAAGTATTCATTAGAATGATAGATTTGGTGAATTATAAAGGAAGTTTGCTTTTTGTTTCATATCAATGCAGTACCTTAAATCAAAGATTTTTCTTTAAAGAACACAGTGAATTAACCATAATAATATAAACTTATATATAATAGATCTTATACATAAATAATATATATATAATATATATAAATAATATATATATATATATTGCAGATAGTGCAAGTAAAACTAATTTTTTCTTTTCCATTGATACTATGCAAAATAAAAGGCATCTATTAAATTACAGTAATTCCGCAAAATGTTATTCGCTGAATAAAATAATGAATATTAAGAGTGAAAGAGGTCTACGAAAATCAATAATTGTTCAACATTATTAATACTTGTATTTAACAATAGCATTATAAAATTAAGATATCATATGCATAGTTAAAACAAGTAAAATTTATATTCTTTTCACCATCACAGCTATTTTAAATAAAAAGTAAACATATACAACCTGTCTATTTTTTTATACTGAACCCCACACTGTTCCCAAAAGGGAAAGAGGTATGCGGAGATCAATAATTTTTAAGTTTTGTTCATCATTACTAATAATTGTAATTTCTAACATAATAACCTTCAAACTAGATATAAAATACCTAATATGGTTAAAAATATTAAAATACTGAAAATTATGTGAATCTTAGATTCGGAAGAAATAAGATACTTCTGATCTTACTTTTATTCGATCACGCGCTTTGGTGTATTGCAAAAAAGATTTTAAAATAAAAAACGTAAGTTCTATTAAAATTAGAAAAACAAAAAATACCAAAACGCAATAATAATAAATAATACCTGCTTAATATAAGTAAGAGTAATAAAAACATTTACAGCAATAAAAAATGTTAAAAAATTTTACTTACTTCCCCATGCCACAACTAAAATCGACAACACTACAACTAACTTCATCTTTTCATCTCTCCCGCTTCGCCTGGATGCGAGCTATTTTATGCCCAGACAACTCTTCAGTCATGCAGTGATGTAATCATGACGTCATACTTTATCTACGGGTTGCCAGAATTTTATTTCCCCGCTTTCTTAATGATTCTTCATATAACATATTCTTTTGCGTCTAAGATGTAAACACAGATGCTTACATTTTTAACGGTATTTCCCGAAAGAAAACATTTTATAAAAAGTGAGAGGGGGGAAACAGCATCTGCAAATGAAACTGGTTCTCAGTTCTCGAAATGTCAATCGATGCATAAAAGTTTGGTTTCTGAAATGAATGATAACTCTATTTCCAAGAATTAATATCACACTGAGAACGAAAAGAAATAGTTTCAACGAAATCTATTAACGTTACCTTACTTGATAGACTTTGCTGATATTGTTTTCTTGATGGAAGATACTACATTTAATTTCTTATGTAAAAATAGAAGAAAATAATAAATCCTTTATTATTCAAATTATCTGTAGTCCGAAATTGTTTTGGCAAAGTTGGCCAAGATTCTGGAAAACTGGAAGAAAGATGCAAACATAACGAAATTTTTTCTCTAATATACGATGATTTGGTTTTGGGTCTTAAAAATTTTAATTCATGTATCTCTGTAAAAGATAAGAATGGAAATTTATCCAACTCGCCGGACGATGGATAAGTCAGATTCTTATCACTATTAATAAAATATGCTTTGGCCTTGTAATTTTAAAGAAACGTTGTTCCGGAAAAACTTTAATTATGATCAAATGTTATTTACTCGCGTACCCGATGCCATTATTTCATATTTTGAGTTCTTTATGATAAATATAAATATTTTGTATATTCATTTTGTGGAAAAAGACTATAAATCTGAGAAAAATGTTTTGCTTCCTTTTTAAGCGAAATTTTTGCATTACATCACTTTCGTAAACATAATAAAAGCGAATTAAAAACTTGATACTTCTTTTTTGCATTAATTGGTGGGAAATATTTTTGCCGCGTGATTGCATTGCTGCGTGCCGTTCTTGTTAAAATTACCTGTATTCAGTAGTTTATCTACTGTTTATTTACGTGAAAGAGTAGATCACATGAAACAAATATTGTATTGCACATATGAAATGGTAATATAACGTGTATTGTACTGAACACTTCTCACATATACTCATATATAATTCCCTTTCCTGAGTTATCACCTGATGGATAAAACAGTAAAGATGAGTGTTTTCATTTGAAGAAAAATTGAGTTTCGAATTTTCATTAAATTATTTTATTACTTTAAGATTCTCAATGAATAAAGAGATAATTTTTATTATAGGCACTCTCAACTTTTAGTAATTCTGCATGTACTTTCTTTGTTCAGATTTCACAATTTGTTTTAGGATGGATGTTGTTAGATGCATGATGAAAGGTATGTGCAACAGAAATGAAAATATGTTACATACCTTTGTATCGGTATTACTTTGAAAAATATATTTTGCATCGGTAATACTTTGAATCAATATACTTTGCATCGGTAGTATTTTAAGCAAGAAAACAATATCTTGGAAAAATTTAAAAACATTAGAGACAAATAATGTGTGTTATATAAATCAAAGTTTTTTATTAACTTAAATATGAACTAAAAGAAAGGCACTATTATATAGCATATAAAGTTTCTTTATTGAGGGAAGGAACTTTATTCCTTTAAAACCTGTATTCAAATACGCCTACGCTGTCCACAGCAGTTTTGGAAGAATTTCTGAAAAAACTTGAAAGTGGTGTATTTTTAAACTCGTGTGATTTATGCAACATTAGCTCAACTACATTTTGTGACATGATGAAACAGAGAAAAATTGCTCAGATCGTTTCCTATTTGTTATTCAGTGAAATAGATATGTATAAGGTTAACAGGAATTATGGAAGAGTTGCAGAAATAAATATGGTTCCGGTGACAATCATATAGATTATACTGGGGTGATTGGGTTGAGCTATATGGGAATCTGATGAAAGAGTAAGCTAAAATGTTTGATGAAGAGCTAGGCATACATTATGCACGAAGATATGTTCAAGGCTGGCTTTTAATATTTTAAATGTCGGTATAGTCTTTAAAGGGTACGGCTGTGAAAGATATTTGACGGGCTGCTAAATTTGTTTAGTTAGTATCCTGTGAAGATTCAAATGTAGAAAAAGTTCTTAGTGCTACTGAAACTGCAGTGTTAGATTACTCTAACTACATAGAAGCCCTAGTGTAAGTTGTTGGTCGTCAGCAAAGATTTACATCTCAAGGCTTCCAAAGTTATGATACAGTTACTGTGATTTATCTTCGCACTAAAAATGGATACTTAGTAATTTAAATTACATTGAACTGGCCTGAGAATATATCGTTTGCAGAATTAAAGCTCATTCTGATGCTTTTGACTTGATTCGCAGCTTTAAGATAATGCCTATTTTAGATCGCTCTATTATTAGAAAGCAAAAGAGTAATGATTTCTGGTATCTACCTTCCACTTGATGACACATCATTAACATAACCTTTTAATACGCTCGGTTTACCAACTAAGTTTAAAAATTGAAAAGAACAATTCCTGAAAAGCATGCGATAGAGAAATTACATGTCTATCTGCTTCGAGAAATGATCTGCCATCTCCGTGTTTTGGTATGTCACTCATCATCTAAGACAAAGAAAGCAGAAATCCTTGCAGCCGTTTACCTCAAAAGATGAAAATCTGCTTAACCGCAAATTTCTGAGCTTCATTTTTGCAGTGGATATAATGAAGTTTCTCAAATATGTCAACAAAATATTTGCAATTTTTATTTTAGCTGTATTACATTAATTCTATACGATTTTTTTATTTATTTTTCCCTCCCTCCTTGTATTATTTTACTTGGTGTTTTAAAGGTAGGACGAAATAGTTAGTTGTTAAATTCTATCTAACGAATCTTCAGTAATTAAAAAAGGAGAAAGGAAAAGAAAGAGAAGGAAAAAATAAAGAAAATTTAAAAAAAAAACATTATTATTCCGCACAATACAGATTTTAGCGACGTCAGGTTAGTGAAGGTAAACGCCTTCTATGTATCTAACACAAAATCTTCTGTCTTTGATAAATCGGGTTAATAGAGATAACTTTAGTAACAGAGTTATTCATTTCAAGTAGGAATATGAATTAAGTGGAAGCTTCAAATTTTATACTTGACAAATGTTATTGACAGATAACTAGAGCTTATACTTCGTCTCCTTAGGCTCTATAGTGGGCGAATAGTAAGACACCTGAGCATCAGAAATTCATTTGCGTTTGAGCCAACAGTAGCCGAGTGTTAAAGACCACTAAAAGTTGGGAGTTTGATCTGGGTTCTATCCCAAACGAACAGGGTGGCTGTTTGGCTGGTTTTTAGAGTTCTCCTCATATGTAACGTAAATGTGAACCAGTTTTACTTTTAAAGAAGCAGACAGCCCTCATGTGTTTTGCCATATTTAAATAACCTCTACCTCAAGCGGGCTTTTAATCTCAGCAAACAGCCTTAGGTGCATGCGTGATTTTCACATGTATACATAAATATAAGCTAGTTTTCTTTAGAAAAATTCTCAGCGAAGACGTACCTTCCCTTAGGCAGCTCTACACTAACGTTGCCATAATCCCGTTTATAATCCAATCGTCATCTTGGTATTATCCCAGTTCTTGGTTTCATACTCGCGTTATTTTTATCTTGCTGTGAAGTCTTTCATCTCTCTTATTAATTTGTTCTGACTAAAGTTTGGTTTCTTGTTGAATGAATCTTTATTTATTGTACCATTTTTTTACAGCATGCGCTACGTTTGGAAATACTCCAGAAAAATTTCAGACAAAAGCTATTATTGAAATCCTATACTAATAGCATTAAAGAATGATATTTGCAAGATTATTTATAGTAACGACCTTCGTAAACATTAATTTTTAATAATAAATATGAATATTTAGTTTTATTTCCACAAGTTTTTATTTATTGTTTTAGAATACTTTAGTTATATAAAATAAATTCTTGTAAAACGGTGCCTGAAATTTAAGTAACTTTCATCATTAGAGGTTTAAGCCATTACTTTGCGTAAAAGAATACATAGAATCATTGACAATATTTAAATTTATCTTTCTACAAGAAAGCGACTTTCATTTACTTCTTTAATCAGAATAAATAGATAATATATACGTCCAGATTTGTCTGCTTTTTGTCAATATCTGTCTGCATATTTGTGATAGAACATGAATGCATGCACTGTATAAATAACAGTATGAAGAGGTATTTTTAAGAAGTGTGTTATTGAATTAATTATGAATGCCCTTCTCATTCTTTATTTCTTTTACCAGTCACTAATATAAACTGTATTGAAGCAGGAAAAATTAGATGAAAATGTGTTTCAAGTTATTACGGTACTACCATACAAAATACTTGTAAAAATATTTATATTTGTCGTCGAATACAAAGACATATTTCCCCTATTGTAAATATTTTCTGTTAACGTAAAGTAAAATATTCGTAAAGTATTTTTACAGTATTTTTTTACCTCGAAATTCAAAACATTTCAGCATAAGAATGACAGCCGGAAAATTTCCTTTTGACCTCTGATTTGGATAAAAAATATCTTACGTCATTTAACTCATCGATAGATCTGAACTTTCACCTGATCACTATGTTTACAGTGTTATCTTCCAGACATTTTGGTACCAGATATTTCGGCAGAAGAAATTTCTCTTGAAATGGGGGAATTACGTTTGTCAGTTTTGCCTGAAAAGGATGAAAGAAAGAATTCATTCATGTGACGTCAAATAAAAATTATGTGTATCCGTATTGTGGTATACTGCAAATTATTATAAATATTTATATTTATGTTCAGGAAGGAAATAGCTTAATAATAAGTGTTCCCTAATCTCCTAATTTTTTACAGCATTTTATAGGGACTAAGATACACAATGCATAAATATAGAAAGGCGGGGCAGAATTATAATTTGTTAACTGTGAATGTTTTGTTTGTAGATTTCTGAGGTACTACGCAGGAAAAATCTCTGTCTAACTACAAAGATCAGAGTCTAGCCGAACAGCTTGGAGAAG